GGGGGGAGGGGGGAGCGCTGTCGCGACAAGACGCCGGTGTCAGGCCCAGAACCAGCGTATCGGGTATGAAATATGACTTTATTTATTTATTTTCCCTGTGATTTCTTACTATTTTAATTGTTTATTTGTTTATTGGTTTTTATTCATTTATTCCATGCGGTTTATGCGTTTTTCCTCCCAACCTTAAAGCTTTATCCAAATAATACTGGAGTTGGAACAGGGCTCTTGGCACATTGAACCTGAGAGAAATCCCACCTTAGGCCTGTTTTCCACCTTAAAACCACTGTCAGGATTTAGATGTAGTTTTTCATGGTTTTTAACTCTATGGATAACAGTTCCTGCAGGTGGGAAGTGAAGTGAAATGGAGTCACCAGTGCTTTCCAGTCTGACTGTACCAGGGCACGGTACATGCTGTCTGGAGGAGCATTCCTCTGTTGACATGTCTCCTGTTGTAACTGAACAGTAAATTAATGTTATAACATCTTAAATATCTCATGTTCTGATTCCATAGCTTGCGTTAAACAACCACTTCACCAAACACAACTTCTCAATCATTCCTCAGCTGTACCTGATTTTGTGATTTTTTTCAAATGTCCTTTCCAACCCCAAACCATCTTATGATTATTTTTTGGTTGTTAAAGGTTTTTGCTGCTGTTGTTCAGGACTGAGCGAGGGTGAAGAATGGATTCTCTGGATCATATGCTCACGGACCCCCTGGAGCTGGGACCCTGCGGGGAAGGAAGTGGCACACGCATCATGGAAGATTGCATGTTGGGTACCACCAGGGTCAGCCTGCCTGAGGACCTTCTGGAGGATGTGAGTAGTGCTAAGATACTTTATCTTCTCAGAACCCTGATGAACAGCATGTTTAACTTGCTTTGTGGGGCTTACAGAGCAAACTGTAAAGAGGGGAAGCGTTTGTGACTGTCCTGGAAAAGATGTCCAAGAGGCGGGGTGGGGGCTCCAGAATCACAGAATGGTTTGGATTGGAAGGGACCTTAAAGATCATCCAGTCCCAACCCCCCTGCCAGCAGCAGGGACACCTTCCACTAGACCAGGTTGCTCAAAGCCTCATCCAGCCTGACCTTCAACACTTCCAGGGAGGGGGCATCCACAACTTCCTTGGGCAACCTGTTCCAGTGTCTGACCACCCTCACAGTGAAGAACTTCTTCCTAATATCTCATCTAAACCTCCCCTCTTTCAGCTTAAACCCATTTCCCCTTGTTTTGTCACTAACTGCCCTTATGAAAAGTCCTTCCCCAGCTTTCTTGTAGCCCCTTCAGGTACTGGGAGGCCACTATAAGATCTCCCTGGAGCCTTCTCTTCTCCAGGCTGAACAGCCCCAACTCTCTCAGCTTGTCCTCACAGGAGAGGTGCTCCAGCCCTCGGATCATCCTGGTGGCCTCCTCTGGACTTGTTCCAGCTGCTCCAGGTCTTTCTTGTGATGGCTTTGATAAATCTCAGGAAAAAGTCTTTAAAACCATTCTGTTACATTCTTTTTCTAAATAACAATCTCTCTCTTATTTTGAAATTGCTTTTGAGAAAGTTTTGTTTGTTAAAAGTTTTGAATTGGTTTTCTTGTTGCCAATAGTATCATTAATTTCCTCATCTTTATATTCTTTTTGCTCTATTGTTTTCTTCATTTAGTGTGAGACAGTCTCCTGTCTTGTGTTTTTGTGACCACAGAAAGCCTTAAGGGCTAGAAAATTGTCAAGGACGCAGATGCATTTTCCACACTATTTTTTTTTTTTTGCTTTCTTTAGCCTGAGATCTTCTTTGAAGTTGTCAGCTTATCTACATGGCAGGAGGTGCTGACAGATGCACAGCAAGACCACCTAAAAAAATTCCTGCCTCACTTTCCTGAAAACAACCGAGAGCATCAGAACAAACTCATCTCTGCTTTATTCAGCGGTGAAAACTTCCGTTTTGGAAATCCACTGCACATCGCCCAGAAACTCTTCCGAGGTTAGTGAGCATAACAACAAACTTCTGTGTCTTTTTGGGGGTTAAGTTCTTAACTAGCAGTTGATGAAAACTGAAGTGTTTTTTTTTTTACCTCTTTCTTACAGATGGATACTTTAATCCTGAAGTTGTGAAATACCGGCAGCTCTGTTTGAAGTCCCAGTACAAACGCTACCTGAGCTCTCAGCAGCAGTACTTCTACCGCCTGCTCAAGCAGATCCTCGCTTCCCGCAACGTGAGTGTCTTCAGGGTGTGGTCATCACTTTCTCGTGTCCTGTAATGAATAAGTTGTCTTCACAGCAAATGGTCTTGGTATTTGTGCATTCACAATTTTTGGAGGTCTTTCTGTTACTGATTGCTGCGTTTCTGGTTTTCCCTTGGCCTCTGTAGTATTTGAGAATGCCCGTAATATTGTTATGTTTGCAGATTGCTGGGTTTGAAACTCTCGTAGCACTTGCTTGTGTCTTTTTTTTTCCATGCCCACCTTGTCCCCCGCTTCCTGCATTTTTCCCTTTACACCTTACTTAAAACAGTCCTATTAAGAAGTCTTTCTGCCTTTTTTTTTTGCTATTATTTATTTGTGAAACACGCCAGGTTGCTAAATAGTTGTATGAATTCCCCAGCTTCACTGGAGACTGGTATAGAATAGATATAAAACTCAGATTGTGATGCCTTTAAATCCCTGAGGAAGTTTTCCTCCATGGATGCTCTTGTCAGCTAATTGATGTCAACTGAAATGTCTTAATTGTAGATACTCGTTCGCTTAGCATTTCATTACGCTTAGATGTTGAAACATATGGGATGTATGGATGAAGATGAAAGCCTGTCCTTATAAGATTCCCCATGGTGATATGGGAAAAAGAATATGGAACTGTGTAGGAAATTATTTCCTCTGTAGCCTTAAGGGGTAAAATATTTTCTTAGAAAGAGACAGTGTCTGTGTTATGTATTTGGCGTGCAAACTGCACGAGTGGGTCTCAGACCAACAGTTACAACAATCCACGTAAAATTGTATGTGCAGGTGAAGGTGCAGGAATTTCTCCTTGCTTTTTCCCCCTCCCCTTCAAATGGTGGTCTAAAATGCTGGCTTTTAAATCTTGTACGTGGCAGATACTGATAGGCTTTAAGGGTTATCATATAAAGAACCGAGTTGCTTACTGCACTAAATCCAAATATGAAACTTGCTGAAAGTATATGAGTTGGGCTTGTCTGTTCTAACTTACAATGCTGCAGCTGAGATAGCTCACGCCATGTGTATCTCATCTTCCAGCACTTGCTGGATTTAGCTCGGAAAGGAGGCCCCGATATGACCCTGAGGAGAAGGCATTTCCCACCGACGTACGACGCAGAAGAACGAGACAAACGGACGCATCGGCGCTACTTGAAGATTCTGAGGGAAGTGAAAGAGGAGTGTGGAGATACCACCTTGTCTTCTGATGAAGAAGGTAATGCTTTGGACTGAACTAAAGAGGTGTGAATAGAGAAAGACAAGTTTTTGGTGTCAGGACAGTGTCTTTGATAGAAGAATAGAAACTGGACTTCAGTTTTATTGGCTGTGCTCTAATGAAAGCAGAGGTGTACAATTATGTAGGTGCTAGATCTTGGCAGAAATTAATTTATTTCTTGACTTTAGATCTAAGCTCCTGGCCTCCAAGTTCTCCAGCACGTTGTCCAAGTCCACCAGTTCCCCTGAGGGTGATCCCCACATTGTCAACCTTGGACATGAAAACAGCAGGTGAGAACCAAACTAGGGGTTGATAGGGATTTAGGGATGAGAATTACTTTGAGAGCCTGCAAGGCATTAGTTTGAAAGTCTGTTGTTTCATGGGAAATCTTGTAATGCTTCATTTTTGCAGCCTCCAAAACAGTTAGCTCTTTTCCCAGTTTATTTAATGTTTTCCTCCTTGGAAGGCTAGTATTTTAACACAAGGATCTACAGTTTATGTAATACTACTGATTTCTGTTGTTATATTTTGCCTTTAAGGGTTGAAGCATTGGCGTAGTGCAGTTCAAAATATTTTAGTGTATGTGCCAAGGGAATCCCTCCTAAGGTCACTGTAATCAAGTCTGCAGAGCCTTCATGCAGCACGGCTGGTTCTCGCTCCTTTTCACTCCATACTTAAATCAACAGTGAAATCTGATCACCCAAGAAAGTGGAAGAAAGTCTTGACAATAAATTGTTTGATTAAAAGAATGACATTTAAATGAGGAAAATTTAATTACTGAAATTTGGAGATTATCGAAAGTGGGAATGGATAATAAATGTTATTCTAAGAAGTCTGTAAAGTAACGTTAATGGGAAACTCTGCAAATAATCTCTGAATGGGGTTTTTTTTGTTGCAGACAAGATAGAACTCGGGGAAAGTGATTTGAAGATGATGTTGAAGAAGCACCATGAGAAACGAAAACGTCAGCCTGTAAGATGTCAAGCAGCTAAGGGGGGGTGGGACTGCATTCTACCTGGTAGTCTTTTACCTGTTAGCTGTTAAGTTCAGGGTACTTCTGGGTGACAAAATGAGTGCTACTTTTTTGTGTGCAACCGCCCTTCAGCCCTTTATTGTAACGTGTATTTAGTTATCAGTATATACATGCAACTCTTGTTTATGCTTGACTGTTTAGAAGGATTTTGTCATTTTAGTGATGTGTTTTGGAGAAACAAAATTTTGAATTTCAGGGTTAAAAGACTTTCCAACTTCTATGACAGTAAATAACTTTATAAGCTGATCCTGGATAAGTTTGGGGTGTTTCAGTAGTTGCTTATCTTCTGTACCCTTGTTGCTCTCAACACTTTGTCCTTTCCCAATTTTCATTTCTCTCCCGTTGTGTAGGACCATCCTGATCTGGTCACGACAGACGTGACTCTGGAGGACATTATGACTCGAGTAAATGCTGGCAGGAAGGGTTCCTTAGCAGGTGAGTGGCTTGGACACGGTATTTGTGCACTGCATGATTATGGGGTATCCTGTGTGTGCAAAAAGCTAAGGGCGAAGGTGGTATTGATAGATTGTCATATCCTTCTGCTCTTCAGATAGCTGGCTAACATTGTTCTGTGAGTTCTTCCCTTTCAGTTGCTCACAGACAACTCTAGTTTCCACTGAAGGTGATTCCAACTAGTTGATGAAAGTTAATTTGTATCTCTGTTCTAAGCAGTTACATTTGCCTTTCGAATTTCTTACGTGTTGGTTTAAAAACTAAAGGTTTTTTATTAAAACAGAGGGGAAAAAAAATAAAGCTTCGTGAAAATGACTGGGAAAGTGGAATGAGTGATGTGTGAATGAGTGCACGCTACATACACTTCTGAATATATGTTTAAATATATAGTTTATGACTCTGTGAAATATTTTATCATACCTACAGCCTTATACGACCTTGCAACCCTTAAGAAAAAGGTGAAGGAAAAGGAAGATAAGAAGAAAAAAAAGCTGAAGCTTATTAAATCCGAGGTGGAAGATTTGGCTGACTCTCTTAGCAACGCAGATGGAATCCCACTCATGTCTCAGGATCGTTCCCCCATCCCTCTGTCATCTGTTAAAGAGGAGTAAGTGCTTCAAAGGGCGCTGAACACCTTTGCATGGATGGAGGGAGCAACAGATGCTGCAGCTCAGATTTTTGTGTGACTTTGGCAGGTTTTGGTTTTGTGCAGCTTGGGATGTGTGAAATGTGTGGTGTTTGTAGATGAAGGTAAATATTTACTCAGGGAACTTACTCTACTTGTGTTCTTTTTTGTTTGAAGACCTCTTGAGGAAATGAAGCCATGCCTTGGAATAAATGAAATATCTTCCAGCTTCTTTTTCCTTCTGTTGGAAATACTGTTTCTGGAAGGACCTGCTACTCTCTCTGTGGTAAGGAACTACCCACAGATCTAGAAATCTTTGCAGAAAGCAAAATTAGGAAATAGAGGGTTTTATAGATACATAATAGTGATTATTCTCCAGAGCTGTCCTACTGTAAATTATATTAACACATAGATTATGTATTAAAGAAATTAAACCCTTTGGGATTGCATACCACATTCTGGTTTTAACATATTTCATGCATTTAGTCAGTTGAATCTCTAAGTCTTTCCATACCCATCCTTTAGATCATGGTTAAATACAGTCCATGTATCAAAGGCAGAGATGGTGGGGAAGTTTTTTCCCCTTTTTGGTGTCAGTTATCTGAAATACCATGTAATGGTTACTTGAAAAAGTCAGGTGATTTTTTTTTATATACATAAAAATCTTTTTGTCCCTTGGATGTGTTTAGCTGTTTTGTTTTCTATTAAAACAGTCATAAAGTGTGAGATCTTTAATAGAATATTTCTTTTTCCTCTTCAGCTTGAAGATAAGGTCCTAGATTGGCAATCTTCTCCTGCCAGCGCACTAAATAACTGGTTCTCCTTTGCCCCTAACTGGTCTGAACTGGTTTTACCTGCCTTGCAGTACTTGACAGGAGACAGCAGAGGTAAGAACGGCTGTTAAAAATACTAATGGTGCTTTTACCTCAGTGCTGGTTTGTGTTATAGCTCAAATCAACTTTTAATTCATCACTACCATGAATTGTTGACAGCGTTTCTATGACAGGCTTTATGACTTACATTTCTTGATTGTGGCAGACTTATTTTGCATGTGGATAGGAGATAAGACCCAACTCGATTCCTGAGTGTGTGAAAACATGTGTGAAACTGCCTCTAGACAGTTTCTCCTGTTCTGATTATCTGCTTCAGGCAGTATGTTTGAAACAGAAAGAAATTAGTCTCTTCCCGGTGTGAAGACGACGTGGTTGTCTTCGGAGATGATAAAAAACAAACTAGATGATGCCCTGAGCAATCCACTGGAAACATGAAGTTGGCTTAGCTTTGACCTGGGGCTTGGAGCAGTGAAGCTTCACATGTTCCTTTCAAACTGAATTATTCTGTGATAATAAATAATTAATAAATAATAATAAATTCGCTTAGTGGGAAGTTTTAAAGAGAGAAACAGTGTGGATTGTAGTGGCCTTTGCAGCATGGACACTTAATGTTCTCCATAATGCTGGGGGGTACCATAAATCCCAAGCCCCAGGATAGTCACCGTACAGTAACAGTTCCTGGTGCCTCACAGCATGAACATGATCTCATCTGACAGCCTGTAAATGAAAAACTCGTTATCTTGTTCTTTTCTTGTGCTTGCACTGTTAACTCTGAGTTGCTTACCTTCCCTTTGGGCAAGTATAAATTTAGAGATGCACTTCTGTAATCACTTATCTTTCATTTATCTCTCATTATGAATCCAACTCAACAGCTTGCATCACAACAGTAGGATTTTGGGGGTTGAATGATTGTGTAATGTCTCTGACATGCACATTTTTCATTGTAGATGTTCCTTCCAGCTTCTCACCTTTCGTTGAATTCAAGGAAAAAACTCAGCAGTGGAAATTACTGGGTGAGTATCTTGTGTTCTTCTGTGATTTCTACTAAAGGTTGGTTGTTTTCTCCAGGACTTTATTTTCAGCTTGCTGCAGCCCAGAGAGAAAGACAAGTAGAACTGTTAATTCATTGGTTAGGCCTTTTCTTTTTTATCTGAGCAAAGATTTTTCTTGCATTCTAGGTTTTCACAAGACATTAGTGTCAGCAGCAGATGGAGAATAAGTGAGCAAAGGCACTGGGCTTTATTTCTTTATGTTGCTGACCTAACCATGTATATGTCACCCTTCAAATCTGTCTGAACAACTTAGAATTTTCCCTTCTGTGCAGCATACCTTCTGATTATTCAGAGTAATGATCAATTATTACAATTATAAATGAATTAAGCTTCTCTATGGAGCAAAGTGATACTATTCTTATTTTTAAAACTGGGAACTAAAGAGAAAATTAATAATAAATGTGCCCAGGCTCATACTGAGTGAGTGACAGATTTCTTGTGTTTCTGTCTGTTCCTTTAGCTGCTAGGCAGAATTTTCCATTCTTAATTATAGCAGTTCTAGTGATCATATTTGCAGGTTTAAACTGCAAGAGATTTGGAGTCAGGAGGCTATTTCTCTGGTCCCTTTCAGAGTCTTTAGAGGTTATGTGGACACGTGTTTCTGCTCATGGACTCAAGTGACTGGGATTACTTTGAAGAGTAGGACCCATCTGCAATGATCAGGTGGCTTCATCTCAAACAGTATCTTGCCTGCTGTGCCAGGAGTTGAAGCACTGTCCTTTGTACCAGAATAGGGGGATAACTTGGATTTAGCATGTTCCTAAGCCTGGGTGTGTTCAAATATTGAAATCAAAGCATCTGTGAAGTGTGGAAAAATGCCTTGTGACTGGTGATGCATAGAGGTGGGAAGGGAGTGGGAGATGACTGGGAAATACAAGCAGCTGACTTCATAACAAATAAAAGGACTTCTCTTTCTTATTTTTCCTGATTTTTTGGACTAGGTTCTTGCCAAGATCATGAGAAGGAATTGGCAGCACTGTTTCAGCTCTGGTTGGAGACCAAAGACCAGACTTTTTTCAAAGTGAGTCAGAAAAAAAATCACCTTCTAGCAGCACAAAACCTGAGTTATATCCAGCATTGACATTTCTTTGTTTTTGACAGGAAAATGAAGACAGCTCAGATGCCACACCAGTTCCCAGAGTGTAAGTATATAATAATGCTTGAAAGCTTCTACAGTGCGTGCTAAAGCTATGAAGGTTTGTCTTTGTGCCTCTGGATCTGAATGGCTGGTTGCTTAAAGTAAAATGATTTTACATCATGGGGCAGGAGGGAACTTGATAGTCTGATCTTATACAAAGTCAATTGATTTTTCCCCAAATTATATCCTGATAACTTGATTATTTACAGTCCTTGCTTACCTGCAGGTAGTGTGTAGAGCCTATTTTAAGATCTCTGCAGGCCTTATTTTTGTTATTATAAATGCTTTCAGAATTTATTCAGAAGAATTTGCAGAAAGGGTGAGGTGACTAATCCTTTGGGAGGTTCTTTGGGATTGTTGTGGGCTTGCTGTTGCTCAGAACTGATGGTAACCTTTGTTTCAGAAGGACTGACTATGTAGTCCGACCTAGCACTGGAGAGGAGAAACGTGTGTTTCAGGAGCAAGTAAGAAAAGAATCATCTTCATTTTAAACACACATGTAGAAACAGTCAGCCACTAAAACAAGAGAATTCATATGGGATGGCAGTTTTATACTCTTACACATACTTTGTTAACAATGTGTAAAGATTTAGTACGTTTCTTCTGCCTTCAAGTTGGTATCTTGGCCTTACATAAAACTTGCTCACAATACAGCCTAGCTGCTTACTTCAAACACACCTCTATTTCCAGTAAGTATTGGGCAAAATTAATTTAAATTGGTGGTGCCAGCCTTTCTGTCTCCTCTGCCATCCTCCAGCATATGAGGATGAGTTGTCTCTATATTTTTGGGGCATGTATGAGCACAAGCAGAAGACAAGTGTCCATAAATGCACCCATACACTTAGTTATCTTGTCTGTAATAGATGCAAGTGTGTATTATAGGGTAGGCACACGATGATGATTCTTCTCCCTGGGTACATGTGCTGTGTGTGTGGTAGAGTAACCAGGTTTACATTTTTGAAATCTCTCTTTTACCAGATTAGAGGAGGATGAAAGGTCTTGTTGATGCTGGGGGAAGGGATGTTTCCTGGGCAGAAGGTGTATCTCTGGCACCTCTTTAGCCTGTGCAGCTGCTTAACAATGAATCTAATGTATTGCACTTGCACACTTTGGTTAGGTGCTGCTTTCTATTCTATTCAAAGTAGTTTGTGCTTGTCTTGATCCAAAAGAAGTTTATACAGCAGTATTTCAGCCTTTAATTTAAACAAACCACCAAACTTCCTCTAGAGAATGATAATAACTTATATTCTAATATAAACATAGCACAAGCTTTAACACTTTGCTCTATGTTTCCTGCTAAATTTGTTCCTCTTGTTTCCAAATACAGGAACGTTACCGTTACAGCCAGCCCCACAAAGCTTTCACTTTCCGTATGCACGGCTTTGAGTCAGTTGTTGGTCCTGTGAAGGGAGTTTTTGACAAGGAAACTTCATTAAACAAAGCCCGAGAGCATTCTCTCCTCCGCTCAGACAGACCAGCATATGTCACCATCTTGTCCCTCGGTAAGGTGATGGCCCAAAAAAATGTTGTTTAAAAAGGAAAAAGGCTCCCCTGCCCCCTCCCTTCCCCCCCAAGCAATGACTTTAGGAATCTACATTATAAAGGAAAAGGTGAACAGGCTTGGATGACATGAAGGCTCCAGGGAGATCTTATAGCGGCCTCCCAGTACCTGAAGGGGCTACAAGAAAGCTGGGGAAGGACTTTTCATAAGGGCAGTTAATGACAAAACAAGGGGAAATGGGTTGAAGCTGAAAGAGGGGAGGTTTAGATGAGATATTAGGAAGAAGTTCTTCACTGTGAGGGTGGTCAGACACTGGAACAGGTTGCCCAAGGAAGTTGTGGATGCCCCCTCCCTGGAAGTGTTGAAGGCCAGGTTGGATGAGGCTTTGAGCAACCTGATCTAGTGGAAGGTGTCCCTGCTGATGACAGGGGGGTTGGAACTGGATGATCTTTAAGGTCCCTTCCAACCCAAACCATTCTATGATTCATTCTAAGAAATTATATATAAAATAAAGGTGATAAAATGCTGGGAGCAGGAATAATTAGAAAAGAAGGTGTCTTTGTGTTGCTGTTGATCTGAGAGAAAGTGGGAAATAGAGAGGAGAGTCTGTGGGGCTGGCTGAAGCTCAGGCTCAGATAAGGGGAAAACAAAAGAGTTGTGGTTTCAGTACATTGTTGTGAAGTTGGGGCATTACAAAGTCATTCTGGGGTTCAGTGTTGTTCCCCAAGTTCATCACTCCTAGCACAAAGCCATCACAGTTGATGTGCTTTAAAATGATCTTTTATAATCTCTGCTCATATTTCTGAGGGATCGCTAGATTTTAGTGAGCAGGTCGGCACTATGAGAGCAGGGATGAGGCAGCAGTACCAAAATGTATCTGCTGAAGTACTGGAATACAGCTGCCTAGTTATGACTGGAAGTTGGAGCTCTTGATTTTGTGTTTCAGTTCGTGATGCTGCTGCTCGCCTTCCTAATGGAGAAGGGACTCGTGCTGAAATCTGTGAGCTGCTTAAAGATTCCCAGTTCCTAGCTCCCGATGTCACAAGTGCTCAAGTAAGTTGGATATCATGTCTAGTCTCAAATAGTTTCTCTTAAAAATACAATGCACAGACCCAGGCAATATTCAGTGGCTGAAGCCAAATGAATTTTTTATGCTGCTGTGACTAGCAAACGAGAGCTGTGTTCTGCTCTGGTGAGCTGCTGCAAATCTGCACCGAACTCTGGATGATGCAAAAACGGCTGCAAAAGCCACAGAATTAACACCACGTCATATATCTGCTCACATTTTAGATTCAGAAACAGTCAGTTTTCAGAGCTCTTGGCTTTTTGGTGGAAGCACCATTTAATCCAAGGTGGCAAACAGCGCCCTGTGCTGCAACATCTGCTCTTAGTTCTTACTCAAACAAAGATTTCTAGCAGCTTACTCGGGTTTTATGCCAAATAGGATTACTTTTCTATGCATGACCTTTGTCTGGCTGACCCAGGGACATCTTGTAATTCCCTGAATTCTCAACTTTCAGGTTAATACTGTTGTTAGTGGTGCTTTGGATCGATTACATTATGAGAAAGATCCCTGTGTGAAATACGATATTGGACGCAAGTTGTGGATCTACCTGCACCGGGACAGGAGTGAGGAAGAGTTTGGTAAGCCTGTGCTTAGTGATACCTTAAGAATTGAAAATATTTATAAAATCTCTTGAGTTTCTTCAGTCCAGCTGGATAATCAACATTAATTTGTCACTCTAGCTTTTTTTCTCTAGTCAGTTTACTCATGTTAGCCCATCAGCACTTAAATCCACTCTTGCAGAGCAGTGTGTCAGTTTGAAGTGTTTGAAAAAACAGCATCCTGTGTACAAGAACTGCAGGTGTACACACATTCACAACTTCTTATGTGACTTATGTCTTATTTTCAGCCTTTTGGGCTAATTTTACTTGATATTTCTCTTGGCACTATTACATGACTATGCGTGTTTGATTCCTTGTCTGAAGATGAACTTACAGTTCTGAATTGGCCTCTTCCTTCAGTCAGTTTCCTCGTGTTCAGGAGCTCTAACCGTGAATTTGTATTTACAGAACGGATCCACCAGGCTCAAGCTGCTGCAGCAAAGGCCAAGAAAGCTCTTCAGCAGAAGCCAAAACCTCCATCTAAAATGGTAAATTTTGGGATTGGGAAGGAGACACAGGCTTGACTTAATCCATAATTCTGCATCCATAGTGGCTGATGAAAATTACCACCTATTTGCCTTACCACTTCATTATGTTTATGAGTGTCAGAGTTAGTCTAGCACCAGCACAAAAATAAAAGAGAGGAAGAGGAGACTTTTACACCTCCCAGCTTCCACTGTTATCCTTGTTGATCTCAGCAGAAAGATTAATGGCATTTGCTCGTGCTCCCTGCTTTAGGAATGGTCTTTCAGATCTAGTTTTGAGGTTAATCTGTAGCAGAGTATGTGGAACACGTCTGCTGCTCTCCACCTTGCTGTGCTGAAGCTCTCGGGGTTTGAATGTCATTTTGTTGTCGTTGTTATCGAGATCAAATATCTCTAAAGTATTTGCTGTTGACAAATTAACCAAGGTGGAAATCTGCATGTTATGAGTGTTTGTCACTGCTGAGATCTGCCTTTCCTTGAGGAGAGGAGCAAGCAAACACACCAGCCCACTTGTGGCTGCAGTTGGGGAAGGCAGACAGCCATCTGTGATCTCAGGATTTAGCACCTGGGCATTCAGAACCATCCAGAACTCAGCCTGAAGCACTCAGCCTACTCTAGAGCTCAGCAATCAAACCTGTTTTTTGTGAAGACCTTCATGTTTGACATGGTTTCTTTGCAGAAGTCTAGTAGCAAAGAGAGTTCTGTGAAAGCACTCCCCAGCAGCACATCAGAGCCCAGTCAGCTGAACCTTAGTGACTCCAGCATGCCACCAACTCCCGTGACTCCTGTGACACCAACTGCACCAGCATTACCAGCAACACCCATTTCACCCCCACCAGTGTCTGTGGTGAGCAAGAGTGTATCTAGCGCTGCATCAGAGCCAGCAAAACCCAGCCAAAGGTACTTCTTCTGTCTCATACCTGGCTTGTTAGTGTTACTGGTTCTTTCTCAGTCATTTCCTACATCTTTGCTGACCTACTGGCTTTCCCTGTTCCATAGTGTTCTTCTGGTATCATCCCCTACCATGCCACAGCTCGGGACCTTGCTTTCCACAGCGCAGAGTTCACAGACACAGCCTGGGCCTCAGCCACCTCCCACCCGAGTTGTCAGTCACACCACTTCCTCAGGACTGCCACAGGTCCGGGTGGTCACTGCCCAGTCCAACCTCCCAGCCGTGTCTCAGCAAGCCCCAGTGGTAACCCAACAGCAGCAGCAGCAGCAGCAGCAGCAGCAACCTACGTCAGTGCCTCAAATCCGCGTTCCAGCTACAGCCACGCAAACCAAAGTGCTCCCTCAGGTGAGTTTGGTCACATGGAAATGGTGGGGTAGTTCTGACTCCTAATCTCACTACTTCTAGTGTTTGGGAATGGTGCACAGGGATTACTTGCTCACTTGGAACGTGCAGTAACTGCAGGGCAGGGGCAGAGAAACAACTGGGCAGAGAAAAACTTAATGAAATAGAATAAGGGCAAG